AAAAAAAAAAAAATTAGCTGGGCGTGGTGGCACATGCCTATAGTCCCAGCTGCTCAGTGGCTGAAGCAGGAGAATCACTTGCACCCGGGAGGTGGAGGTTGCCGTGAGCCAAGAATGCACCACTGACTGCACTCCAGCCTGGCGACAGAGCAAGACTCCGTCAAAAAGAAAAAAAAAATTTGGGCCATCGGTATGTCAGCCTGCCCTTCCTTCTCAAGAAATGGTGGTGGGTGAAGACCCCACCTTGTCTCCTGCTGCCCTCCAGCACCCACCCCCGTCCCCCGTCTTCATCAGTCCCTTTCCCAAAGGCTCCATCTCCATGCTCTTGCACCAGCAGTCCTGCACTTGCCCCGTCTATCTTGCCAGGTGCACCTCAGTGTGGGGCTGCCTCCCTCTCACCTTGGAGGGGACTTCAGAGAACTTCAAGCAGGCCAGGTGAGGGCCTAGACCAGCTGCCTCCTAGGCCTGTGGAGACAGTGCCTGTGGGCCTCTTTGGTTATACCTCTGATAAGGTGTTGCCAAGAAACTCAACCAGGAGGTAGAATGTTTCTAAACACCAACCAGTGAGGAAATTAGCCTAAACAGAAGTGCAAAGCCATATGTCCAACGACACTCATGCTCGCCCAGCATTTGTTGGTGTGGGATTGGGAGGACTTGGGATGGAAAGCTAGGCTCTCCCCATTTCCATCTATTTTTCATTGGGAAGGGGTTTAGGGGGCAGGCTCTGGAACGTGTCGTGGGTGTCACGGGCCTGGGGGAGTTCACAGCCCTGGCTTCCTGAGTGGACTCAGGCTTCCTTTCACGACCACTTTCCGCCTATGAACCTGGGGAAAATGGCAGTGGAGGGAGATGAACAAGATAATTCCCAAGGCCCTTCCAGGCTGGATGCTGTAGGACTCTAACAGGGTCGGTCATAAAGGTCAGGTAGTTGCCCCAGCCAGGGTCAGCTCAGGTGAGGACAGGGGTTTGGCTGAGGTGACAGGATACCCAAGAAGGTAGAATCAGGCCACAGTTAGACCCGGGGCTTTGTGCAGTCACAGATAATTAATGAGGAGGGAAGAACCAGGCTTGGTGGGGGAAGGACGCCAGGAGGGAGGGAAGGGCTGGGAATCTCAGCCGCCTCTGACTCAGACTCGCCAGTGGGTGGCGCTGTAGGACAAGGAGCTGAGGGTCTCTACTGAGAACCGCTTCCGGCCTGGGCTGGGAGCACGCAGAGGACTCCAGAGAGCACCCATGGTGGTGCTCCCGGGGCGACGCTCCCAGGGCGGTGCTCCCAGGGCATCTGCCATCGCCCTCGTAGGTCCCACAGCAAAGGGAGCTAGGAGTGATTGGAGAAACAAAAGAGATTTCCCGGTTGAGCCCATCCTGCCTGCCTCGGCCCAGGTCCTGGGGAAAGCGGGCCTGGGAGGGCATCTCTCTGTTGCCACAGTGGGGCCAATTTTGGGTTCTTCAGGAAACTCTTCTGCCTCCTGATGTGCCCCTCCCCTTCCATAGGAAATTTCAGAGCAAAAGAGTGGGCTTAATTCAAAATATCCTTGAGCTTCTGGATGTGTCTGGATGAAAGCCTTCTGTCCCCGTGATTATCCTGCCTCACCCCGTCTCTTAGTGTCTCACAGGCTTCTGGTTGACGCCTCTGCTGTGTGCTTTAGTGATAAGAAGAAAATAATAATTCATGTGAATCTATTGCTTAAAAGTGCCAGCTCCTGTGCTAATCATATCACATGCATTCTTTAATGTAATGGTCATCTAATTTAGCTTGAAGACACAGTCTGTGGCTGGGCACGGTGGTACACTCCTGTAATCCCAGCACTTTGGGAGGCCAAGGTGGGCGGATTACCTGAGATCGAGAGTTTGAGACCAGCCTGGACAACATGGTGAAACCCCGTCTCTACTAAAAATACAAAATTAGCCGGGCGTGGTGGCGCATGCCAGTAATCCCAGCTACTTGGGAGGCCGAGGCAGGAGAATCGCTTGAACCCGGGAGGCAGAGGTTGCAGTGAGCCAAGACTGCGCTATTGCACTCCAGCCTGGGCAACAAGAGGAAAACTCCGTCTCAAAAAA